TAAGAGAGCAGGTGGGACAGGCCCAGGATGTGGAGCAGACTGTCCCTGGTCTTGTGTGTTCTCGAGATTCTGGGCTCTGGAACAGTGGCAGAGCCTCTCCCTCACTGCCCCCTCTCTCCTCTGTCCTCTCAGAAAATTCTGCCCCTGTCTTCACTGCAGCTGTTTGTGTCCATTCCTTGCTCCACTTTGTCCACAGAGGTTGACAGGACAGAAGGTGTGATTTCAGTTCATGGGAAAGATCTCAAATCCTCCAAAGAGCTCAGCCTTCATCTGCCAACAGGTTAGGATTTCATGGACAGGAAGTCTATCTGTCTATCATGTCTTTCTCCTCTGTCTTGTCATCCACCTACTACCCCCTACCCACCTACCATATCTGTCCCTGGGCCTGCACCTCTCCTGCTGTCCACCTCTGCAGTGGGTCTCAATCATGCTGGACCCTAGGGCTACAGCATCAGAAGCCGTGTATTGTGTCCACTGCTTCAGTGCCTTCCAGCAAGGGCTGTCAAAAGTGGACTATCACATCTGATTTAGGAAATACTACAAGGGAGAAAATGTGCTTCAACTTTCCTTTCTTAAAAAAAAATACCTTTGTATTCTAGCTACTGTTAGTCTTTCTAGAGAGAAGAGACATCAGACTCTCAGGCTGAGAGAGAATCAAATTTAACAGTTATGCTTTCAGAGGCAGAAGATTGGAAAGGTTTAATCTCTTTAATAGAAAACGTGGAAGAAGCCACTATTGATTTCCTTAAGAAAGGTGGGGCACATTTTATGTTCATTGCCCTTTTTACTTATTTTGTCACTATATAAAAATCCTGCCTCAAATATTATGGATGCTGTTTTCCCTGTAGAGTCTGAAAATGACCTCTAGAAGTGCAGACAAGGTTAACAAGCCCTTGACCTGTGTTCAGCATCTACACAGAGGTGGCTGAGCATCAAGAAAAAGCAGGCAACAGTGAGCTGCCCTGAGACCTCTCCGTGTGGTTCTGTTAACTCTCTGTCTCTCAGTGTCCATGAAAATTGATTGTGGCTGTAAATAAACCAGATGGTGTTGGAAAAACAGCCAAAGCCTTTCTGGTGAATAGCAGTGGTCCCCAAATGCTTGTTCTGCACCTGAGATTGAGTGCAAATGGCAGAGCTTGAAGATGGACCGGGAGGAGCCCTGGCTGGGCTGAATTTCCATAAGAGCTTTTCCAGGAAGCTGTGCTTAGTGAGGGTCATACCAATAACTATCTCGGACAGTTGTTCATATTTATATTTATTTATTCATTTTATATAAAATAAATAATGCAACATAAAAATTGTCAAGTCCAAATACTTTCCTTAAAGTTGATTGTAAGCTTTATTTGCATGTCTTTTCTCATGTAATCCTGAAAACCAAATATTGGAGACATAAATAGTTACCCAAATTGGAGAAATGAAGGATGGTATCTCCTAACAACAGCAGTGACAGCCAGGTCTAGGACAGGTTCTGAAGAGTGGGTAGTGCAGATGTCAATCAACAGCATGCCTGTTTCTCCATTTGTCAAAGTCAGAATTCAGGGAACTTTCATTTCTTTGCCTCACTTCATCCTCACCACTGGACTCAGATGTTATTCTCATCATCTCTCAGGCAGAGTGGACAAGGAAGGGGAGGTCAGGGGTAGCAAGAGTCAAGGTTGGAAACCAGCCATGACCTTGGATTTTTATGGATGGGTGCTCCTCAGGTCTCAAAATGTTTGTTCCTGTGTGAAGACTGCAGTGTGCTGGAGAGAACAGCAGAGTCATTCCAGACTCACAGAACCTCCTGGCATGTCCTGGTCCTATAGGCTTGGGGGGTTCAAATGTTAAATATGCATTCCACAAATTATGTCTCAGCAACTTTTTAAACATTTTGAATATACCATATAGATCTGAGAGTCTTAGAATGCCAGCTAAAACCAGATTGTTAAACCAGAAATATTAACACTTATTTCACACTTGAATAACTTAAACTCAGGAATTAGTGATTCCCCTTGTTTGCAAATGTCCCCTACTTTTTTGAGCAACAATTCTGAATATACGCACTTGTCATTGACAAACTGCTTTCTTCAGGAAGTTCATGAACTTGAACTGTTGCAACCTCACTACAAGTTACCAACTCACTTCACCCACAGGTGAGCTTTTAGATACTTTTTTAAAAATATTGTTTACTACAGGTCATCTGAATTCCTAGGATCTACAGGCTCTGGAACGTCCTCTGGTTGCCACAATCAGGCTGGTGCACAGGTGTGTGGCAGCTCAAAAGTCACTTCAGCCCTCTGTACAACATTAACCCAAAGCTTTCTTGGTGGCCAAGTTAGAGCCTCATGGACATCACCACCTGGATGACCAACCACACAGGATGGCCAGATTTCATGCTGGTGGGACTCTTCAGGCAATCCCAACACCCAGCTCTGCTTTGTGTGGTCATTTTTCTGGTTTTCCTGATGGCCTTGTCTGGAAATGCTGTCCTGATCATCCTGATACACTCCAGTGCCAAACTCCACACCCCAATGTACTTCTTCATCAGTCAGCTCTCCCTCATGGACATGATGTCCATCTCCATCACTGTGCCCAAGATGCTCCTGGACCAGGTGCTAGGTGTGAGTACCATTTCTGTCCCTGAATGTGGGGTACAGATGTTCCTCTACTTGACACTAGTAGGTTCTGAGTTTTTCCTTCTGGCAGCCATGGCCTATGACCGCTACATGGCCATCTGCCATCCACTTCGCTATCCAGTCCTCATTAACCATAGAGTGTGTCTCCTCCTGGCATCTGGCTGCTGGTTCCTGGGATCAGTGGATGGCTTCATGCTGACTCCTGTCACCATGAC